AAAGTTTTCCGCATCTTCTTTGAAGGTGAAAATTGACGGAGCTGAGAGAGTCTAGCAGAGGTTTAATCTAGTTGCATACGAATGTTTTATTTACTCCTGAACATTTTTTGGCCCTTCACTATTCTTCCCTTTTTTCCGAATCAAATTAACTTTTTCTTAGTAATATTAATACCTTTGCAAATTGTTCTAGTGTCTTGCATTTCTTCCATATTCTATTCATCATTCTTGAATTACACCTTAGTACTCGTGTTACTTTTGGATTCATTATTACTTCTAAATATAGTAACAGTAACTTACGACATGAAGAATTCATTCGAACTTTATTAGTTAATGGGCGATAAGTTCTAGTATCTGACGGATAATAATTTGTACTTCTTGTTGCAATAATCATGTTCAATATGCAAATGACAATGAAATTATGGCTGATGCAGAGATATTGCAGAAAAATCGAGATTCTGAGCAGCAAAAAAAAGTGACAAAGTTCGGCCTAGTTAATGCAGTCCCTGCTCTCGCCAGGGAATGAACCAGCCAGTTGGATTGTTCCGGCATCGTAAACCTATAAATTGAGATAGATAGGTGTAGAAAATATTAAGAACTTAAGCGATCTTCGTTACGCAATACATGCTTTTTTTGCTATTGTCTTGAACCAGAACCTATTTGCTTACCTTCTTTGGAACTTTGCCATGGCTTACGTAGCTATCAGGAATGAGGATAGAGAACTTTCTTTGGCACGGCTGGAAGCAGAGAGTGTTAGGTCTTCACACAAACTATCACAGTTTATTGTGCAGCATAAAGGAAAGAAAAATATGGCAACGATATGCACAAATTTTCAAATGTTTCTTTAAAGGTTTCCAGAATTCTGAACCATTTTTGTTATTATTTTTTTGCATACAGAGATTTCTTCATTTCTTGACTATGAGGTGTTTCTACTCGGACAAAAATTCAGTTTTTTTGTGTCATAAGTTTTCTAGGGAAAAGCAACGTTGCTCCATTTTCTTCGTTACGGTAACAGAAGTCGTCAAATTAAACTATGACCAAATGAATGAAGAAATCCTTAGGTACCTTAAGACCATCGTTACAATCATGGTAGATGCTAAGCTTTGGGTCAATTGTAGTATACTCCTTTGTCCATCCAGCGAGATGAAATTCGCCATTTCTGTCCGTAACTTTCTCATCCATAAGATCGTCAGCGTCGGCTAAACCCTCAGAAATTTATGTTTCTTAAATTGAAGATTTCATCCGCAAGATTCCATCAGTTCTCACTTCGATCAACATCCCACAGCTTGACCTTGACGCCAACTGCAGGCCTTCCGTCGCACATCAGCTGCCCTCGGACCTATAAGACTCTCTTGCACTTTACAATGTCAGTTGTTTCTTGTTTGTTAAAATTTGACTTCAGAGAATCACAAAAAATGAGGAGCTAATTTTTCGAAATCCAGAACTACTAATTTCCGCAAGTTGGAGGTAAAAGATGCTGTTAGTTGAAATACAGAATGGAGATGAATACGTAAAACTAAGGCAAACTCTTTACATTTCCATGACTAAGACCTTTTCTAGATTTTCTCTTTTGATTTTCAGATAATCTGATTATAGGCTCACCGCGGACGATTGGTCTCTTCCAAACAATTCAATGGCAGTAGCATAGCCTAGCAGTGCGCACAGGAGTAGATACTTCATTTCTGAAAGAAAGTTAGCTGAAGGTCATTTTAATCTACTCTGTAAAAAACCAGAATGATACAAGAAGAATGGAAATCGGAGCTCATCTTATCGAATGAAAAGTGTCTTTTAATTTGGATTATAAGGTTGTCACATGTTAATCTGATATCAATGTGAAAAAATAGACTTAGTTCTAAAGTCGTCCAAAAAATTCTTATTGAAAAATGGTAAATAGGTTTAGGAATTTCTCAAAAAACGAAAAAATCCATCTTTTAAGAGAAATTGAACAGATGTAATGTAATGCAAATAAAAAGGTACTTGTGGGAAGCTCCCTTGATTCAGTCCGGTAATCTAATCCACTTTAGGCCCGAAGTCTTTATTTCAATGATATATACAATTGAATCAGGGAAATACAAACGAAGAATGTGTGACGGCTACGCCTGAGATACTATCAGTTCCACAAGAACTAGGAGATTCTAAAGAAGCCGAGGAGTATTAATATGGAATGTTTAGTTGATGCAATCTCTGCTTTCACCGGGGAACGAACCAGCTAGTTGAATGGTTCCAGCGTCGTATACCTGAAATATAATTTTGAAAGGTAATTGATGTTAACGAAGAGTTTTTCAAATTATTTTTATGCTTTATTGATAAGCATAGATGACTGATAACTTTGACTCACTCTCTTTGGCGTTTTGCCGTGGCTAACGTAGCTATCCGGAATCAAGATGGAGAACTTTCGCTGGCAGGGCTGAAGAGGAAAAGAATAATTTTGAGTCCTAGATAGAATAGTCCTATAAAAGTAATAAATATTTTTAAAATAGCTGGATTTCTATGAAAGCATAGACAAGCGGAGCTTGAGAAAGTCACAAAGAAAGAGGAGGGGAGGTTACTGGGGGTTGAGAGGGTCGAACGTACGGCACAAGTAGTATTTGGGCTGATCTAAAGTGCTTGAGAGGGAAAAAATTTTTTGAGCACAATGGATCCTTTGAGGCCCTGATTTTGCCTTATTTCCATATTAACTAAAATTCACCTTAAGTCCGTCATTGCAATCGTGATAGATGGTAATTTTTGGATCGATGGTAGTATATTCTTTTGTCCATCCAGCCAAATGAAATTCGCCATTAACATCGGTGTATTTCTCATCCATAAGATCGTCTGCGTCAGCTAAATTATCATTCTTTAGATAACTTTCTCTTAGGTTTACTTAGGAAATGAATTAGGAGGAAATTAAGCAAATAGTTGATTTCTTACTTCGATCAACATCCCACAGTTTCACTTTGACTCCAACTGCTGGCCTCCCGTCACAGATTAGCCGACCTGTTGCCTGAAACCAGTTATATAGCTTAATTAACTGCCAAACTACAGTATTCAATGCCTTTGAATTACACTAACTTTTTCGCAATAACTCTTTTGTTGGCACCTGAAAGGGAGGGAGGATAAAGGGTGGAGGAAGAAGGAAGGATGATCTATTTTCGCAAAAGTAAGATACAGTTCAAGTTTGAGAGTAACAAAATAAATGA